AGATTATTTATTTATTTATTTGAGAGGTAGAGACAAAGAGAGAAGTCTTCCATCTGCTGGTTCACTCCCCAAATGGCCGCCAACGACCGGAGCTGCACCAATCCGAAGCCAGGAGGCAGGAGCTTCCTTCCTCTGGTATCCCACGTGAGTGCAGGGGCCCAAGAACTTGGGCCATCTTCTGCTGTTTTCCCAGGCCACAGCAGAGAGCTGTACAGAAGAGGAGTAGCCGGGACTAGAACTGGTGCCCATATGGGATGACAGAACCGCAGGCAGAGGATTAACCTACTGTGCCACAACACTGGCCCCCATGATGTTTTAACATTTGGGTTGCTAACTTGGGTCCTGTATGTTTGGCAGTGTTTCACAAATTTTTTTAAAGACTTATTTATTTATTTGAAAGACAGAGTTACAGAGAGGCAGAGGCAGAGAGAGAGAGTTTTTTCATCTGCTAGTTCACTCCCCAATTGGCCGCAAGGGCCGGAGCTGCACTGATCTGAAGTTAGGGGTAAGGAGCTTCTTCCGGGTCTCCCACACAGGCGCAGGGGCCCAAGGACTTGGGCCATCTTCTACTGCTTTCTCAGGCCACAGCAGAAAGCTGGATCGGAAGTGAAGCAGCTGGGACTTGAACCGGCACCCATATGGGATGCCAACACTGTAGGCAGCAGCTTTACCTGCTACGCCGCAGCGCCGGCTCCCCCCAATTTTTTTTAAGTTTGAATGCTTTCAGGTGCAATTCAGTCTTCTGACAGTTCTGCCAGTGGCTCATTCGCCTATTTTGTTAGGGCACCCAAAAACATTTGTGTGTGACAGTACGCCTTATTTTCTTTAGGTAACAGTAAATACCTACTTGAAAACTTGAGGTCCTGGCCAACTGTTTTTTTCTTAAGAGCCTTGATCAGTATTCAATAGCTGTAAGAAAAAAATCCTCCAAAGATTCTATGTGACTTCTACCCCATGACTTACAACAAGATTTACTAAGTGGTTAATTACGATAACCCAAACTTGTTTTGTACTCCTCAAGAATGTTCTCTTCAATAATGAGACGAAGAAGTGAAATATAAGGGATGGGCTGGACATTCTGTAAATTTAAAAGTATACACCAATGAAACTAAAATGACCCATGTCAAGTTCTACTAAATCTCTAATGATGAATTAATTCAAGGCAAAATTAATAGCATTTGGTGTATCAGCTATGCAATACTTTTTTTCTTGGCAAAGCAGTTAGGATATCCATTAATGAGAGCCATTATTGATAGCCAAAAATGATTACTTATAAAAGAACATTTTATCTTTGCATAAGATGTTGAAAATGTCAGAATGTCTCAGACCACCTCAGACTCAGAAAACAGCAAATGTATAGAGTTATCTCCTAAGTTCTGAATTATTTAGTCTATCAATATTAAAAGACTGAATCATGTGAATAACCAAGTTATGTTATCCCAAAGAACAGCCTTGGGCTGATGTTTTCTAAGACTTTTATTTAGAATATAAAATAAGTCAGTGTTGTGGTGCCGCCTGCTGGCAACCCATATGAGCAACGGTTCCAGTCCCTGCTGCCCCACTTCCGATCCAGCTCCCTATTATTGGGCCTAGAAAAGCAGCTTCAACCACTGCCACCCCTATGGGAGACCCCAATGGATGAAGCTCCTGGCTCCCAGCTTTGGCCTGGCCTGACCCCAGCTCAGTTGTTGCAGCCATTTGGGGAGTGAATCAGCAGCTGGACTATCTTTCTCTCCATGTGATTCTGCCTTTCAAATAAATAAATAAATCTTGAAACATCTCTGTATCTCTCTCTCTATATATATATATATAGTAAACTCACCAGTGAACATGGTCTGAATGAAGGCTATACTCTTATTTCCCTCACAATTATCAGTCAGAAATCCCTGATGAATGGTCTATGGAATTTTAGTTTCTCAAATTGAGACCAAAAAAAGTCCCCATACTTGTTTCATAAATATAATGGATAACTTACTGGCTTATTTAATCACCTTGAAAACAGTGATTTATTAATAATGATCTAAAAACTATAAATAGCTGACATCATGAGTAAAGAAGTTTTTAACCCTGACTTGATGAATGAGTATAAAAACCAATTGGAGAGGCCTGCATTCCATTATCAAAGTGCCTGGCTCAAGTCCTGGCTATTGCACGCTTCCGGTCCAGGTTCCTGCTACTGCACCTGGAGGCAGATGATGACCCAGCTACTTGGGTTACTGTTACACATGTGGGAGACCCAGGTTGAGTTCCTGAGTCTCGGCTTCAGATTGGCCCAGTGCCAGCTATTGCAGGCAGCTGGGAAATAAGCCAGTAGACAGACCAATCTCTCCTTCTGTCATTCTGCCTTTCAAATAAATACACACACAAAAATTAAGCCTCCCTGTTTATCATATGTGAAGAAAAGGCTACTAGAATTATTTTTCAGGAAATGCCTCCAGGAGGTAGTTTGCTTATTATTATTAACGTTTTTAAAAAGTGAGGATGTGCTAATTGCTAGAATATAGACAAAGAATGTCCTTTAAATTTTTTTTAAAGGATATTTGAGAAGCCTAGAGAGAACAGCTCACACCTGCCATTCCCTTCCCAAATGCCCACAACAGCCAAGAAGCCAAAGCTAGGAGGCGGGATTCAATCCAGATCTCCCACGTGGGTGGCATGAACCCAATACTAGAGCTGATACTGTTCCCTCACAGGGTCAACATTAGCAGGACTCTGGAATCAGGAGCTGGAGCTGGGCATCAAAGCCAGGTACTCCGCTATGGACACGACATCCTAACAGCGAGACCAAATGCCACCCCAAACATGATTTTATAAACCTGCTTCAAAGTTATCTGTACAATATAGACAAAGGGTTTACTGAAATATACTGATGCTACTAAATGCATGTTAGTACTATATTTATAAGCATAGTTAACTGTAGCTGCCACAAAACCATTTTAGAACAAATTTAATGAACATAAGCATTCAAATAGAGTTGTATTAACTACCCTTAGAGATTCCTCAACTTTGCTGCAATATTAAAAGGCAAAGAAAAGAATCCCTCTGGTACGTTCTAATTAGGGTAAATGCTTAACTACTTACTTTGAAAAAAAATTTTTTACTCCCAGCACTAGTTATAAAACTAAAATTAGGGGCTGGTGCTGTGGTGCAGCAGGTTAATGCCCTGGCCTGCAGTGCCGGCATCCCATATGAGTGCCGGTTCAAGACCCAGCTGCTCCGCTTCCGATCCAGTTCTCTGCTATGGGCTGGGAAAACAGTAGAAGGTGCCCCTGTACCCATATGGGAGACCTAGAAGCAGCTCCTGGTTCCTGGCTTTGGATCAGTGCAGCTCCAGACATTGTGGCCAATTGGGGAGTGAACCATCGGATGGACGACCTCTCTCTGCCTCTCCTCTCTCTGTGTAACTCTGACTTTTAAATAATTAAAAAAAAAAAAAAAACACACACAACAAAAAAACCCTAAAACTAAAATTAGAAGACCCCAAATAAGACTTTTTTTTTTTTTTTTTACTAAAAACTGTTCTAATAGTTTTGTAAGAAAAGCCTCTTTTGTTCTTATTTTGAATGAAGATTCACCTCAAGGATGGGAAACAGAGTTCATATCTAATAATGCATATTATCAAGAACCACTGGGGTGGACACTGTGGTGCAGTGAATTAAACCACCACTTGGGACACCCACATCTTATATCAGAGTGCCAGTTTGGGTCCTGGCTCCTCTGCCAATGGGTATGGAAAGGCAGGAGAAAATGGACCAAGTACTTGGGTTCCTGCCACCCATGTGGGACACCCAGACGGCGCTCCTGGTTCCTGGCTTTGAAAGGCACAGAGATACAGAGATCTTCCATCCACTGCTTCATTTGCCAAATGCCCACAGCAGCTGGGGATGGGCCAACACAAAGCCAGGAACCTGGAACTCAGTCCAGCCTGCCATGTGGCTGGAAGGACCCAAGTATTTGAGCCATCATCTGCTGCCTTCCAGGGTGTGCATTAACAGGAAGCTGGAATTAGCAGTGGAGCTAGATCCCAGCTAGGGACTCTGATATGGGCTGCAGGGGACCTAAGCGGCATCTTCACCACTGCGTAACTGCAATAAACTTTTTTTTTTTTAAAAGACTGTTGACATATCACATGCTCAGACTCAACTCTCAATAATGTCAGTGTACCACTTCTTAGGGACTCTCCATTCAAGCAGCCTTAGGAATGAGATAATCTTGCCATTTCCAAATCTCAGAATTATTTTATATACAGCTCCAAATATTTCAATATCCTAAATGAAAAAGCATATGGGTCAACAATGTTTATAATGGGATTTCAAAAACTTCATAGGAAATAGAATTAAAAGATGAGTTTGTTGTGTTTCAAACATTTTTAATGCATCATTTAAAAATAATATACATTTTCCATTACTTTTTGAAGATCCTTTAACCTTTTTCCTCTTATGTGAACAACTCATTTACTAATTAATTAAACATGTATTTACTTCTAGAGCTGCCTTTACACAACCGGTTTCTATAGTGCCTCTAAGATTATATCTCCAAGTGGTGAAGATTTAAGTTGCCTGTACAGGGGCTGGTGCTGTGGAATAGTAGGTACATTAAGCCTCTGCCTGCAGCACCGGCAGCCCATATGGGCGCTGGTTAGTGTCCCAACTTCGGCCTGGCCCAGCACCTGCCATTGCAGCCATTTGGGGAGTAAACCAGTAGACAGAAGATCTATCTCTCCCTCTCTCTGTAACTCTGCCTTTCAAATAAATAAATGAATCTTAAAAATAAATTGCTTGTACAGTGTATTACTTAGTACCAGTTATTAAACTACACAGAAAAGGTCTGCCATCTGTGAACACCTTAGAAGGGAAATATATATCCTCTATGTTATGTTACCTTGTGTTGACTGATGAGTTTGGGTATACTGTGTATTGTGAATCATTTGGAGTTATAAATAACTCACCCACTCGGCTATAAATTTCACTATACACACACAAAATTACAGAAACAAACAGTTGAGATAGCTAATGTAATTTTTCTTTTTTTTCCCAGTTTCACATTAGATCTCAAAATCACAGCATTTCTACTCTTCATAAATGGCTGAGAATAACAGAAGTGAGTTCAAACCCACCTTATTCTACAACAAGGCAATTAGGCTCAAAGAAAAGCTCATTTCTAACTGCAAATGTTCTTTTACAACATAACATTTTTAAATCTACTTCAATCCAAAGAGATTTTTATTACACAATTTGATTTTTACATAAGTAAAATAACAATAAAGATGAAGGAACAACAATTTAATTTGTATTGAAATAAATATTAGACATATAAAGCACATACAGTGAAAAGGGTCACAGTAAATTACAAGTGGAGACATTATTTTGCTCAATCACCAAAGAAAGCCCTTGATACTTCCAATTTCTCACCATCAAATTTATCATTCTTGCTGATTTAAGCAGAACACAAAACAAATATGGATCCCAGGGCTTACTTTCACAGGTACCAGCATGGATAATTTACTGCAGTGATCCAATTTGGAAATCAGTAGGGACCAGTAAATCGCTGCATAAAAGAAAAAGCGAATGAGGTCCTTTTTCCTTAGTGTCAGCAGGCTATGATTATTACATTTATTAGATTTTCTTGAAAGGACTTCACATTTTCTCAAATATGCAGGAGAACTATATTTCCCCTCTGAGCCCTACATTAGCATCTATGTGCTTTGGTCTTGAATACAGGGGAATGATGAATTTCTCAATTTATTTTATAAATTTATACAGTCTAGATAGCATTGGCTCAAACAGTAATTCCCCAACCTGTACAATATTAGATATTAAAAATGGATTCAAGAGGACTTACTAAGAAATGTTGACATACTGTACATACAAATTTTTGAGTTCAATATATCCCATTATATAGAGCACCAGAAGTAACGCATATATAAAATCAAGCAGTTCTTTATGACTATTTCTAATCTTTGTGGTCTCTTAACATCTGTTCCAATATATACACATCATAAGTGTTACCTGCCCAAGACTTTGCCCACTTAGTCTCAACTTACAAATATATATATAGGCAAAACTTAGTGTCACAAAGAATTGTTCTGTCAAAGTTACAAAGGAAAATAGTAAATGTGAAATTAAACTGTCATGAACCAAGAAAAACAAGTTTCAAGGTGATAAGCATATCAAAAAAGTAGCATTCCAAGGCTAAGGAGGAGAATGTAACATTTTCCTTGGGCCCTTCTTTCTCTGACAATATGAGCTAATTAATATTCCAACAAAGATATCCATCTATATTTTTTCTTACTGATTTCTAAGAAAAAGAATCTGCAGATTTAAAAAGTCCTGGGCTCTTTTCTCACATCAACTCAAAATCAATGCAGGTCAGTTTTCCTACATGCACTACACAAGAGGGGACAGACTGTGGAGACAGTGAATCCCCCACGCAGGAATATGCTCCTTCTAAAGAAACCACCTGAATACCATCTTAGGACATACACATTTCCGAGAATAATAACTACCAGGGAAATTTCCAAACGTTTAGTACCTCTTTTCTTATTCTTAATACCAGATCTAATAACTTTCCACCCAGAATACAAGAGGACTGCTCATTAAAACAACCTCTGGAAATAACTCCTAAGTTTATAAAACTATGCCTTTGGAATATCATATGTTGAACTGTACATGGCCTCAGAAGAATTCTCCTAATCTTAGAGAATTCCAACGAAGTGTTTAGAAAAACTAGCTGTTTACACAGCCCAATTTTTAAATCTAGCTACCATTTCTGATATAATAGCTAAAAATTTAATTTTGCTTTTATATTATTGTGAAAAGTCAAATTTTCAGAGAGCTTGAACTGGCTATATCTAGTATACCTACAAAATGATGAAAACATTACTGATTATGAACACATCTAAAAATGAAGGAGAAAGAAGAACCTTATAATTGATATGTTGAGCAATTCAGGCACTTAGAATAAAAAGGAAAAAATAGAGACACTGTAATCTGAATGATGCCACTTCCAAATGTGGCCTATTTTACTGTTTTTCTGGAAAGTACATAGTGACAAGGTACTTCTTTTGAACATTTCATTTTTTAAAAATGTACTCACAGTAAATGATTATTAAATATTGTTCAATACTAAATGATTACACATCGAAAAAGTTCATGGCATTCAGATCCTTAGTTTTATGACTGACTCAGCACATTCAGAGGCATTTAACACAGCCTGCAAAAATGGGGCAGGGGTCTCCTTGAGCAAAGAGTGCCACCTACTGATTAAAAACATAACTGTGGCTAAGTTCTTTCTGGAAGTTTTCATTTCTGGAGTATCAAAATTCGTCTAATAAGGGCGACAGCTTTGAAGCTAGCAAATTCTAAGGAGAATGGGGTGGGGTGGGACTTTAGAGTAACTATATTAATTAAATTCCTTAGCATTACTTAAGGGGCTTTACATAATCCTTCCAAATTAACTTCACTTAATCTAATCAGAAACCTTTTTAAAAACAAAATCTCTCAGTAGTTACATATATACTCATTTTCCTTTGCAGTATAAATAATAATCATGTCCTAATGTATCAAAACCTGAATCTTTTGCTACTGCTCATTAGGAAGAAAGGAAGCTTTGCAATTCGGAATGACATAATAGAATGCATTGATTTTTCATTGACTTCTGATTTATTATTAGCTTGCCTTGATGTTCTCTTAAAGAATATTCGTAAACAAAACTTTTTTTTTCTTCCAGGACCACCTACCTCAGTGTACTTCATTCAAAGAGAACTTAAATATAAACTGTATTTAAGAAATCTCTCTGCACTAATGTTGAGTAGAGTTTAAATTAATGAGAAACCAAGTACAAAAGGAAGATAAAATCCCTGTGTGAGGCTCCACTTGTCCAAAAGAGTTTAATAAGACTAAAGAGTTGACTTCTCCTTCTGCGTTCTTGTTTATACTGCTATCTGCATTTCCCTAATTTTAATCTGACAGGCATACACTGAACACTATAATATCAGATGCCAAGTCAGCTGCTTGTACATAATTATACTGCAGAATTTCTAGCGATAAGCTCATGCAAACTAAGTATCTAATAATGTTCAAACTGCCAAATTTACTTTTTCATGAATTCAAGAGTATTTTAGTTATTAAGTAAGCCACGCTTTAAGGAACAAATCTGTATTTCTGTTCAAACATGAGTATATCAGAAGTATAATCCTGCTAGTGATTAAAAAGCCTTGATTTAAAACCAGTGCTTGAAACTGCAGTAGTTTTAATGTTAAACATGTTTTTGTTAAAAGTCAATGTGAATCATTTCCCTTAGGGAAATACTTTTAACCAACAATAATTTTCAAAATAAAGAAGAAAAAAAACCAAATTTATAAATCTTTAAAAGATGGTCATGGTAAAAAAAAAAAAGCAGTGTGAGCACACACACACACACACACACACGGAAAAACTGGTGAAAACCAAGTACGTTTTTTACTTTAGTTAATATTGTTTCAAGGTCAATTTCGTACTTCTGATAAAAGTTCTTCAGTCATGTAAGATGTTAACACAAGAGGAGGCTGACTAAAAGGTATACAGGAAACGCTCTGCACTATTTTTGAAATTATTCTATAAATATAAAGTTATCTCCAGATAAAAAAAAAATTTGGAGGGGGGCGGCACTGTGGAGTAGAGGGCTAAGCTACCACCTGCAGCACTGGAATCCCATATGGGCACTGGTCTGAGTCCCAGCTGCTCCTCTTCTAGCTCTCTGCCATGACTTGGGAAAGCAGTAGGAAGTGCTTGGGCCCATGCACTCACATGGGAGGCCCGGACTCCTGGAGGCTCCTGGCTCCTGGCTTCAGAATGGCCCAGCTCTGGTCATTGTGGCTATTTGGGGAGTAAACCAGTGGATGGAAGACCTCTCTCTCACTCTCTCTGTCTGTAACTCTGCCTCTGAAGTAAATAAATAAACCTTTAAAAGAAATTTGGAGGAAAAAATTAATAACTTCAAAATAAATAACCTTTCAGCTGCCAAAATCTGTATAATTCAAGACTTAAGATCATTAGAAACGAATGCTTACTTAACATTATAATCACTTTATTGCTCTAGAAAGTTTTTTTTAAAACATTATATTACATATTGAGTGATAATGAGGCTAAACACACACACACACACACACACACACTCAACTGTCTATTATGAGGTTGCTTCTCCAACTTAGTTGATATTACAAAAATATAAAAATAGCTGGTTATAGCGAAGCTATCAGATAAATTTTTCTTATAATCTATTCTAAAAATGTCACCTTTCCAGAGATTATGAAGTTGAACAAGCAAAAAAAAAACTGATGTTACTGATAAATTACTAATGAGTATATTTTAGAAATCCAAATTACATGCAGGCAGAAGCAAACTGGTTACAAAAACCACTACATTATACTAAAATTATGCAATATTTTAAACATTTCCAATCATGCAATAGTAGTAAGTATCAGAATGAATTTTATAAAAACGTTGATGGGAGTTCAACAAACAGATTTAACAAATGATACAACCCAAATCATAGTTGCAGAATACATCAGATTCCCCCAAATTGATCTATGCATTATGAGAGTGAAATATGCACTATTTGTCCCCAGTGCCCCACCTTGCTTCATTCCCAATTACCTTACCTACAAATCTCTTAACCTGTTAAATCAGATTTAATAAGTAAATATGTAATCTACAAGATACTCTTCATTATTATTTCAGAACAGACACAAATATATGCTCAATCTTCAGTTATATTCCTTTGAAAAGGCATCTGAACTTCTGTATTTGTCTAGGAAAATTCAAGCCTAAGAAATGGAGAAAATTGGCAGTCAAGAATACGAACTAGGTAATTGTACAACTATAACATGAATAACTTATGTGTCCACATTTGTAAAAGGATTTCCTGTTTGAAAATGTTTCTCAAGGAGATTCTGAAAGCTGATCACTACTGCCTTCTGATGTAACACAGTTAGCAGACCCCACTTGTTTACCCAATGGCAAATAAGCTTCCAGTTGAGCCTTTTGTTTTTAATGTTCTAAGACAACAGAAGTACTTATATAACTAAAATCTCAGAAGGCCATAGCATAAGATACATATAGATTTCCTCCTATAATGTTATATCCTAAGAAAGCAGCACAAAATAACAATCTGGAATTATACACAGTGGGAATGCTTCTGTTACAATCACCAACCAAAATTACTGAATGGGAAAACAATACTGTCTCAAAGTATACTGAATTCACATATTTTTTATATTATCATAATGAACTCATGCCAGATATAAACTCAGATTACTAATTAGGCTGAAACAAATTTTAAAGCTATTTTACAAGAGAAATAAATGTAGTTCATGATACAGGCACAGAAGCATCTAAAAAAAATTTAGTACATTTATCACTACAAACAAACTTCCTTAATCATGAGCTATAGTGCAGTAAAATTTTTTCAAAAAATTTTTAAAAGGCTTGATTTAACATGCCAAGAAAATGATTATTTTTCCAGTGAGATGCATTTATGTAAATTACGTAAATTGGATTGAGGTCAGTGCCACACCTGGAATTTACAACCCCTAGCAGAAGTACTAGCGGTTAATAATGCTTATGTTATATAGAGATATACAGCTTAACTAGACATTAAACTACGCAACTGTGGGCGCCAGTCTGCTTATGAAGGCAATGCTCTGTAGACAAAGTCTTCTCACAAACAGTGGGCAAGCAGGTTTCATTATTATATGTTCAACAACAATCCTCAGTTCATTAAACAAGATCCTGCAAAACAAAAATGTTTTCTTCAGGAACAGAGGCAAAAGCAATACAATGATAAATAAGCAAATACTGATGATGGAATTTACCACAGCCTTTAAAGAACCTGAAGAAATAAAATTAACAGGAATGCACACAATGCAATTCTCAAAATCTACATCTATGTGGTTTTTTTAAGATGGAAAAGTTTATTTAACAGAGACATTTAATAATTGGCTACCTCTGATGACTGAGATTAAGGATGATTCATATTTTCTTTTTTACAGAAATAACATTTTCTTGGGCAAATTCAATTTCTTTAAATGAAAGAAAAATTATAGAATATGAGCAATCCAAGTACTATTTCTTAAATGAACATACTTTGTTTTCCTTTTCTATAAATTAGAAGCAGGTACCTCACCTGGAGTCATAGTGAAGTTTAAATGAGTAACACAGAAGATTTTCAAGAGTTCTTACTCCAAATTAGATCACTCTGCTGATCAAACTAGTTTGCTCAGACCAAAACCCAACTCCTCAACTCAACATCCAATACTCTACAATCTGGTCTCAGTTTAACTTTCTGCCTCATCTCCTGTCACTCTCTGCCCAAACTCCTATGCTCAAGTCATGTTGCAAGTCTGTCCAAACATGATGTGCTCTAACTGCTCGCTGCCTACAAAGACTATTTTATTGCATACTGTACACATCGCACATACACTGTACAGTTGGTAATGCCTAAATTATTTATATTATACTGTCATTTAATTTCTTTGAGGCAGAAAGAGCTCCCATCTGCTGGTTCATGCCTGCCTGCCCGCCACCCAGAGGGGCTGGGCTAGGCTGGGCTAGGAATCAAGATCTCAACCCAAGTCTCCCATGTAGGAAGGTATCAGGGATCCAGCTACTTGAGCCATAACCTGCTGCTTCTCTGGCTCTATCACTAGCACAGATTAAATCAGAACTCCTCTACAATAGCACCAACACCAGGACTTTCTGTGATAAGGAAAGTCCAAAACAGTGGCCACCAGCAACATACGGCTTTTAAGCACCTAAACTGTGGTTAGTGTGATTCAGTAACTAAGTTTGAAGTTTTACAAATTTTAAACAGTCAAATGTGGTTAGTGACTGCTTTACTGAGCACCACAGCTATAAACTACACCAGCCATCTACAACAAAAGTGATACCACCAACTTGAGAATAAATACAAGTGAAAAGGGTACAAATGACTGATGCACACAGTCTCAAAACCTTTAATAAAAAAGTTTAGCATAGAAAATTTAGTTTTTAGCATGGTTATTAATATTTGTAAGCTCAAATATTTTCCATTATCTTTCTACTGTTTTAATTAAAATATGTGCTTATCAGTGATCTTTATTAGCACATATTGGTGTTACCTTAAACCACTGCTGTCCTTTCTTTTTCAGTCCACTGAAAACTTCTAAACTTCTAGGTGTACTGCTATGATTTCAATGTATATAAGAAATGAGAGGAGAGAAGGAGATATGTAAGAGGCACAGGAAAACAAATCTCCTAACAGAAATGGATGTTAGGAAAGAGGACCAGAAGATAATGTCTGAGATGAATATGTGGACCAGAAAGAAAAAAGGAATCACTCATTGAAGCAAGTAAAAGGTTTATTGGCTACTAGGGACTCATGAACTTATGCAATGTAAGTAAGGCCTATTTCAAGAAGTATTACTAAAAAGACATTGTCTTAAAAGAACATAAAAATCTTCTGAAAAGAAGAATCAGATCACAGAATAAAGAAAATAATTTAGTGGAACTTAATGTATTCTCAGTCTTTGTAAAACCTTTACTTCATTGACTCTCAGGAGGAGATTTTCTACTCAACTCATGAAGAAATTCAAATTTAGTTAACGTGCAGAAAGCCACACACCTGATAAATAGCAGGCCAGTACTCAAAATGAGTTATTTGTACTGTACATGTGAAACATAACAGAGATCTTCCTAATATACTCATTGGATTTCTGGCCGAATTCTACTGCTTTATTTTAAATGCAGAAATAAAAACTATACTAGCATTAGTATCTGAGTAACATTTTAAAAGTCAGCAAAAACAGCTATTTTAAAGTTTTACTCTAACTTTTGAGATCAGATCCTGAAAAACTACAGTAATTGCCTAAAACACCTCTATTCTCTCCTTGCCCATTTTTCTGCTCCAGACTACCCTGCACAAGGATATCAGAAGAATATTCTGATCATGTCAACAGGGCCGGTGATGTGGCATAGCAGGTTAGGCCTCTGACTGCAATGCTGACATCCCATAGGGGAACCAGTTCGAGTACTGGCTGTACCACTTCCAATCTAGCTCCCTGCTAATGGCCTGGGAAAGCAGCAGAGGATGGCCCAAGTACCAGGGCCCCTGCACACATGTGGGAGACCCAGAAGAAACTCCAGGCTCCCAGCTTTGGCCTGGTACAGCCCCTGCCATTGTGGTCATTTGGGGAGTGACTGGTGGCTCAAGATCCCTCTCTGTTTCTCCTCTCTCTTATGGTCCTGCCTTTCAAATAAAACAAAAACAAAAAACAACAACAACACAACAAAGCTACCAATGCTATGCATTTAAAAAGATAAATTCCAAAGTTCTTACCCTAAAACTCAAGTTTTGTTAACAATATGGCTCCAATATACTTTGATTTTTACTTATTTATTTATGTATTGAGTGGCAGAAAGACAGGGAGAGAGCAAGATGGAGTGCTTCCATCAGATGGTTCACTCCCCAGAAGCCTGCAACAGTTGGGGCTGAGGTTGAAGCCAGTAGCAGGGAACTTAATTCTGTCTTCCAGTGTGGGAAGCAGGAATCCAATCTCTTGAACCAGCCACACTGGTGGGAAGCTGGAGCCAGGAAGTAAACCCAGACACTCCAACATGGGATGTGGGCATCCTAACCAGAAGGCTGAATGCAGGCTCCTCCACTACTGTTTTAGTTGTAGCTCCAGCAACTCACCATTCAGAGTCTCCACCAAAGTCAAACAGATCTATAAATGACCTTTAAACTTCTTGCCTGAATCTGTGCTCTCACTGTCTCCCCGACTAAAATGCTTTGACCTAGTCTCCCTATCTATTCAGTTTTGATCCTTCCAGATCAAATTTCTCTCTATTTTAGGACACCTTCTTGGGTTCATTTACCTTCCAGTCCAATGACCTCTCCCTTCTGTGACCTATAGTACTGATACAATAAAGCAAACAGATAGCAACTTATTAAATAAGTTATTAAATAGCAACTCCATTAATAAGATCCCCTGTGGATGCCTGAAGTTGTGGATAGTACCTTTTATACAGATTTTCTATTCATATATACATATGCTAAAGTTTAATTTACAAATCAAACATTATATAGTGTAAACACAGGAATGATTCACCTCCCACATGGGAGAGAGTAGGACAGTGCAGGATTTCATCATGCTACTCAGAATGGCATAAATTTAATATGAATTGTTTATTTCTGGACTTTTCCATTTCACATTTTCATATTATGAAAACAAACCATAGGTAGGGGTGACTACTTTTATTGATTTGTGAATACCATATTCTGAGCTATTTTTTTTTAAAGATTTTATTTATTTATTGAGAGGTGGAGTTACAGAGAGAGGGAGTGAGAGAGAGGAAGAGATCTTCCATCTGCTGGTTCACTCCCTAAATGGCCCTAACAGCAGGAGCTGAACCGATCCAAAGCCAGGAGCCAGGAGCTTTCTCCAGGTCTCCCATGTGGGTCGAGGGGCTCAAGCACTTGGGCCAGCCTCCATTGCTTTCCCAGGTCATAGCAAAAAGCTGGATTGGAAGAGGAGCAGCCAGGACTAGACTGGAGCCCATATGGTATGCTGGCGCTGCAGGTGGAGATTTAACCCAGTGTACCACAGCGTGGGCCAGGAACTATTCTTTTATTATTTGACATGTATTTCTGTTTCTTCAACCAGGAAAGTTCCTCAGTAATGAGACCTATGTCCCAGACATCGTGATTCCCTCAGCATTGGTGGTGTTTTGAAGGTGATCAAGATAATTTCAGTCTCAGTTTTCAAGAACACAGTTGGACCCATATTATAGTTCAACTTATGATTTTCTGACTTTATAATGGTGCCACAGCAAAGTGCATTCATTAAAAACCGTACTTGGAATTCTGATTTTTTTTGGACAGGCAGAGTGGACAGTGAGAAAGACAGACAGAGAGAAAGGTCTTCCTTTGCCGTTGGTTCACCCCCCCAGTGGCTGCTGCGGCCAGTGCACAGCACTGATCCGAAGCCAGGAGCCAGGTGCTTCTCCTGGTCTCCCATGCAGGAGCAGGGCCCAAGGACCTGGGCCATCCTCCACTGCACTCCCGGGCCACAGCAGAGAGCTGGACTGGAAGAGGAGCAACCAGGACAGAATCCAGTGCCCCAAATGGGACTAGAACCTGGGGTGCCGGCGCTGTAGGCGGAGGATTAACCTATCAAGCCGCGGCGCCAGCCAGAATTCTGATCTTTTCCTAGGCTAGTAATATGCTGTGTGAGTCACAGGTAGCACTGGGCAGCGGCAAGTTCCAGCTCCATCAGCCACGTCACCACAAGGGATCAACGAATCTACACAGTGTACCGTGTTGGGAAGCTCTGATGTTCAGAGCTACTGGTGTATTCGTAGTTTAAATGCTTTCCTGATTTATGAGATTCTCACCTTCTGAGGGTTTATCAGGATGTAACCCGATTATAAGTGGAAGAACATCTGTTTAACTACCTTCTCACTAACATCAGTTGGTTCAGGGCCTAAAACTAAAACTTAAAAAAACATTGCATACTTAAGTCCAACTCACTAGCTAACTAACTCCTAAGAGTTACTCTTAACAAGCAAAACAGATTTAAACTAATCCTCAACTTACCGACAATACGGATTTCTTCTAGAGGAATATCGTAGAGTAAGAAATCTATAATATATAAAAGGCTGCAGCAAACTTCCTTGACCACTGAAATAAACAAATACACGATAGTAAGAACACATTATCAATTCATGCGTATATTCTCAAAACATAAAGACAATTCAAACAGAAAATGTACATGTCTTCATTCATCAAAGGGACAGCAATGTCTGTCATCTCTACATTCAGGTTATTCAATAATTGGTAAAGAATATTACAGCTTAAATTTTTAAAAATATATTCATACATGAATGACTTATGAAATTGTAAAATATAATTCATTCTCTAATCACAATTGATGAAATCAAGCTTTGAAACTCAATATACAGGGCTGGCATCATGGCACAGTAGGTTAAACCACTGCCTGCAATGCTGGTATCCCATATGAGCACCAGTTCAAGTTCTAGCTGTTCCACTTGTGATCCAGTTTCCTGCTAATGTGCCTGGGAAAACAGCAGAAGATGGTCCAAGTAACTGGGCCCCTGCCAACCAAGCAAGAGACAAAGACAGAGTTCCAGGGTCCTGGCTTTGGCCTGTCTGGAATATTTAGTATGGCTCCAGTCTACAATTACAAATAAAGCTACAATAATCATCCTTTCCTCTCTCTTTGCACACAAGTGCATGTTTGTGGAAGACAAACTCATAGAGACTATGTGCTCATTTTTAAATAGAGCAAATGTAACTTAATAAAGCCAGCTAATATTAGACTATGTGTCTACCACAAAGGATAGGACTAGTAATAAGGACTACTAATGATTTAAAATTGTTTTTATACTTTTGAGTTATATTCAAGTAATAGATTAAAGCATTAATAGCAGTTCCTAATAGCAGTGGAGTATAACTTTTTAAGCTAATTTTGATTTTTTAAAATAATTTATCTACTTAAATATTTCTGGTTAATTTTCATTTCCTTTACAATAATCTTCAAAATTAATATAAGTATGCACATCCTAAGTATTTAAATAAACATTTCAAGAACACAATTGAGTTAACGTACCAATGCAGTCAACATCTCTAACAAAAAAATCACTGAAGTTCCAAAATGAGAGTTTTTCGAAATATGCATGGCATCTCAACATTTCATTTTAACTATTCTGAGATGATCCAAGAGGACCATAAATTATGTTATTAAATAGAACCTGGAAGTTTCTGAATATGAACATCAATTATATCCATACAAAAAAAAACTAGCTTCAGAATATAACATTTTAACTTTCACTCAATTCCAAGAAATAAATCTCAGAACTTGATGTGATCCAAGACCAGAATTATGTGACCCAAGAAAAATAAAACGAATAATACAGTAAGATGACAGAAAATTCCTTTTACTAATTAAAGTGTTTAAGTGTCTGATCAGAATTACAAGAGGAAAATCAAAAGCTGAAACCTAAAATCATGGAAATACTAGAATTTAAAACACATCTTAGCCGGCGCCGTGGCTCACTAGGCTAATCCTCTGCCTTGCGGCGCCGGCACACCAGGTTCTAGTCCCGGTCAGGGCGCCGGATTCTGTCCCGGTTGCCCCTCTTCCAGGCCAGCTCTCTGCTGTGGCCAGGGAGTGCAGTGGAGGATGGCCCAGGTGCTTGGGCCCTGCTATGGCCTGGGAAATCAGTAGATGGCCCAAGTGCTTGGGCCCCTGCACCCACATGGGAGACCCAGAAAAAGCTCCTGGCTCCTAGCTTCAGATTGGCCCAGCTCTGGCCGTTGTGGCCATCTGGGGAGTGAACCAGCAGATGGAAGAACTCTCTGACTCTCTCTCTGTCAAATAAATAAATCTGAAAAAATAAAAAAAGACTAATTTTTAAGTTCTTTCAAGTATAAGAAAAATCATTTTAATAGTGGCAGAATGGATTAGATTTCTCAAGATTCTTTCAAAGGTAGTAATTCTGAAATTAATTTTGAAAATGTTAAATAATGTATCACAAGAAATAAGACAAATTCCTGGGTTTACTACAACATCTCTTTCTCTATTGTAAAGTTAGAAGGATTGGGTGATTGCTAAGATCACTGAGCTCTAAATATTGACATATCAACAGATTTAAGTTGGAGAAAATTTGAGTTATATTTTTTTATCTGAAAGGCAAAACTGCAGAGAGAGAGAGAGAAAGAGGAAGAAGGAGATGAGAGAAAGAGAACATAAGCAACAGAGAAATGTCTTCCACCTGTTCCCCAAATGGCTGCAACAGTCAGGGTTGTGCCAGGTCAAAACCAAGAGCCAGGAACTCCATCCTGGTCTCCACATGGGTGGCAGATGCCCAAGCACTTAGGCCAGCTTCCACTGCCTTCCTGGAGACACTAGTGGGAAACTGGATGGGAAACCAAATAGCCAGGGATCAAACTGAGGCTTAACTCACTGCTCCATGATGCTGCCCCAGAGTTAATTTCTTTAATATGTTCACTTAGTCATCATTTTTCCAAAACAAGTATATTTTTATTCTTACCTAAAAAGCATAAAAACAGTAGCAGGCATCAAAAAAATTTCATTACAAGCAATGAATTTCAGAATATTTTGTTGATTAGCACTTAATTTATCCAAGACAGATCTCAGCAGAGGTAAACTATTAGAACCCTTTGCCTAAAACAAAAGAGAGAAACATTAGAAATAAAGCATTTTTGATAACTTAATTACCGTTGTCCCCCAGTGTCTGTGGGGCACTAGTTCCAGGAATCCCAATGATACCAAAATCTGCAGATCCTCAAGTCTCTTATATTAAGTATGAGACAGTATTTGCATATAACCTGTACACATAGAACCATATTCCCACATATTTTAAATCATCCTTGGATTACTTACAGTTCTAATATAATGTAAATGCTATTTAAAACAATATTGTACTGTATTATTTAGGATATAATGCAAGAAAAAGTCTGCCTATATTTAGGATGGAAACAATTTTTCCCCCAATGCTTTCAATACACAGTTGGTTAAATTCATAGATGTGGAACCCAGATATAAGACCAACTGTATTTTCCTTCTTAAGATAAAGGTAAAACAGGTAATAACAACCAAAAGCCAATTATTTGAAAATGATTGTATACACATTTACAAACAACTTAAGGATATACATAAGTGTATTTTCCCATTTTACTCGATTTTATTTTGTGTTTTTGAAGATTTAACCAAACAAAAAAAACACCTCAGACTGCAGTAAAAGTACTTTTCATTTCTAGATGCTTATTTTTCTTAAAAAGTTGAGATGACTTCAGCAAAAATTGTAATTACTCTCTCCAAAACAAAATCTGAGTACCCAGAAATAAAAATTACAAAATATCTGTGGTTCCAGCTAGCTGACAGTAGAAATCAGCTACTCCCTGTCTGCTAATACGGATCCTGGGAAGCAGCAGTGATGGCTTAAGTAACTGGGTTCCTGCTACTCATTGATGAGACCAGAAAAGTGTTCCCAGCTCCCAGCTTGGGCCTTTGCAGGGAGTACCCCAGCTAATGGGAGCACTCTATGTCTCTAGGTCTGTTTCTCCGCCTCTAAAACAAATTTGAAAAAGAAATAAAAGAAATAACAAAGTCAAATTACTGTTGTGACCCAAGAATTACAGGGTTAAGGCAGGCCAACACAGGCATAAATTTGGAAATTTTAATTCATCTTTCAATGCACATACAGTAAATCGATCTGGCACAAGAAGTTGGACTTAAAGTCCTAACCAAGCAATTGAAAGCAGCAGTCTAACAGTAGTTGAAAGAGATTCAGGACACTCTACTTATGTGGCATGTTAAACACTGACAGAACAAGAGATCTCTAACAACTCACCAAACTTAAGTGACACACATTGTTTAAAAAACATAAAGAGATTTATTTGAAACTTCAAAAATTCCTCTGAGGCCTGGGGTAATTCTAAGTGTAATCCTTTATTTATATACTGTACTAGTTTGTGAAACATCAACAGTAAGAACTCTCAAAACTTTTGAACTTTCAAATCATAAAATAGTTTATAACAAGTTTGTAAGACATAGACAGACTTTGTGTGACAAATGCATAATGTCTCAGAACTCAAATTCCTGTAAACTATAATCCAAGAGTCAGAGCAACAGCATAATTTTACTTACATCAAGGACTTTCCTTGTATATGTGGCAGCATGAAGCAAAGAGAACAACAAGACTGGGAAAATACTCACTGAAGAAAACAATTAAGGACATTTAAAAGTCATCAAGTACTTTGCAAAACAGGCTATGGATTATGTCCAAATACACCGATCTGAAATATTTGCAATGAGTTCATTGAACAGCTTTTGTTTTACTCATGTATATTTTAAATAAAATGAAGTTGTATAAACTGCAAAGAGGGAAGTAAATTAAAATTATTAGTTAAAAACCGTGTTTTTTTTCATTTGTTTGTGTTGGTTAATAATACACTGTCAATATCTGCTGAATCAACTTGAAATCTAGACTACTTCAAAGGGTTAAATACAGCTCAGACAGCAATGGCCGTGCTAGAGCGTTCACAGATCTCAAACCCGAGGAGAGTTTCCCCAAATTCTTCCCAACTACAGAGCTTTTAGTATTGCTCTCCTACAAAGTCTCCATTATTTTGAGTTACTATATTAATCAAGCAGTTACAACTTATGTTCTCAAGATATAAAAATTAAAAAGTATATACAGTGCATTCAAAGTCTGATCAGCTTAATTACTGACAGAGAAAGCATTTGAGTGCAACTGCTGGCTTTATGCCATACATAAATCCAAGTTTTCATTCAACTTTTTGAGAAATGAAAATTACTCAAAAGACCCCCATTTCTGCCAGGTTGATACCAGAAAAAAATTATCAAGTATTTCTAGGAAACAACACAGATGAACAGTAAGCCAATCACAAGTGGTAAAGGTAATTATGCTAAAGATATTAGCAATTTCTATGAAATGAACCATTTTATTTTTCTGTACTAACTAAAGGGATGGCAAGATAGGAAATGGTGACTACTGTAATACAATCTGACTATCAAATTCATGACAACCATAATTCATTTAAGACCCAAAGGTTTCCTACTACCCAACTGGTGAACAAGATACTGACATATATCAAGTGTCAGAGGAACCCCACCTCTCTAATAATATAGTTCTCCAAGCTAATATCTTGACCAATTTTTTCTCACCACTTTTAAGAATTAAATGATAATATTCTAAATGGATCTCTGTCTCTCTGTCTCTCTGTCTCTCTCTCTCTCTCTCTCTCACACACACACACACTTAAATAATTCAACCTGAACTTTGATACATACCCAGACTCAAAGCCTGATACACTAAAAAAGACAAGGTCAGGTAGTAAAAACAGAACCCTGGACTGAAGAGTGAAGACAGTTGGGTTCCAGTCCTGGCTCTGTCATACATCTGTTTTTTTCATAGGCCAAGCTGAATAAAGAGAGATCAGAGCTAGAGATTTCTTGTAAGTCTTTTATTTCTAACATTCTCCAGTTCAGAAACCTTGGTAAGAGATTCATAATCTTATCTTTCAGGATCATTTTAAAACTATTTAGAAAAGATATGGGTTAAAGTGGCTAAGTACCTGTCATTGTTAGAGTAAGAAAAAGGCATCTGTCACCTTTACAAGGACAAAGACTTTTATATTATTTTAGGCCCACTTTTATTTATTAGCACAATAGCCATTACTTTAGGAATCAGTTTAGTATTTCTTGCCAATTAACACTTTGTGCTATTCTCACTGCTTACTTCTCCCCAACTCCACATGAATTTAAGAATTTTTGAAATCCAATAATTGTCAACATTCCCAAGAGAGGGGCCAGCAAATAACTAAATACAGAGAGGGGCAGAGAGGCTGTCTTCACAGTCACATCTCATCTGGTACCATCACAAGAGTGACTCAACAAAATTTACTAAGTACCTGATCTGCTCTAGGCTCAGCCCACAAATTCAGAATTGAGGTATTTAATTTGCTCTGTTAATTATCTGGAAAACACATTTTCTCTCATTTCTATTTCCCCATTCAAAGAACTTTTAAACTACCAAAAGGCATAATCAAGAACTTCTAGACAATCCAATGATACACCAAAGAAATGATTATCATTTATTATTATAATACAACAATAATTTAGTGAGTTCTAGCTAAATGTAAACCATATTGGGGGGGGGGGGCATGGCACCGTGGCACAGTAGCACAGTAGGTAAAGTTATTGCCTGCAATGCCAGCATCCCATATGGGCATCAGTTCATGTCCTGGCTGTTCCACTTCCGACCTCACTCTCTGCTATAGCCTGGGAAAACAGCAGAAGATAGCCCAAGTCCTTGGGCCCCTGCATCCGCATGGGAGACCCAGAATAAGCTCCTGGCATCTGATCGGCCCAGTTCCAGCAGTTGTGGCTAACTGGTGAGTGAACCAGCAGATAGAAGACCTCTCTCTCTCTCTATAAATCTGCCTTTCAAATAATCTTTTTTTTTTAAAAAAGTAAACCATACAAATTATACTGGGACATTATAGACCCACACACTGAAACTATCTTCTGTTCCATACCACTTAAATTATCTATGTAAAACAAAGAATTTAGAGATTCTCCACATACCATATGTGTAAGTGGAGTTACCAGCTTTACCCAAGAAAAGATAGCAGTATTTTAAAACCACACTTAATGGTTACCCATTGACGACAGATTAAAAAGGCCTTTTGGGGCCAGCACTGTGGCATAGCGGGTAAAGCTGCCGCCTGCACTGCCGGCATCCCATATCGGCACCAGTTCGAGTCCTGGCTGCTCCACTTTCGATCCAGCTCTCTGCTGTGGCCTGGGAAAGCAGTAGATGGCCCAAGTCTTTGGGCCCCTGCACCCGTGTGGGAGACCCGGAAGAAGCTTCTGGTTCCTGGCTTCGGATCAGCCCAGCTCCAGCTGTTGCAGCCAATTGGGGAGGGAACCAGCATATGGAAGTCCTCTCTCTCCGCGTAACGCTTTCAAATAACTAAATAAATCTTTTTTTTTTTTTTAAAAAAAAAAAAAGGCCTTTTAAGTCACAAGACCTTTTTAGCATTACTGCTAACTCACCAGTGTATGTTTCATATTATTGATAACAGCACTGAGGCTCAGTATTCTTATCAATAATACGACACAATGATTCTTTTCAGAGTGCTGCAGGATTAAATGTCAAGACACTGGCAAACAAGTCTCAAGTTTCCTCCAATTCTCTTTTTCTTAAAACATAAAAATCTATTTAAAATTTGATATTTCATAAACAGGTATTATCTAAAACAGCAGTATTTGTCTTACAGAGGTATTTGTGCCTTCTACCTTGTATAGTCATAAATATTTAAAAGCTCTTAGGGTAGCATTTCTCAAAGCACAAAATAATTTCCCGAGGGATGACCTACAGGGAAAAAAAATTAATAAATACAGCCAATGCTTTCACTTTTACGTTGCACAAAGAACTCTACTTAAAAATATTTAACCTAGTGCTTCTCAAACATGACCAATTGTGGTTCCTCTCCTCTCCTTTTTGGAGCTATCACCCCACAACACACTTTGGAAATATGAAAACAAATTACAAATGAGCTATGTAATAATGATTAGCTACATGGATTAGCACATACATCCTTACTTTCTAATTTACCTACAACAAATCTTCATTTCTTTCCATTAATGATCCCATTCTCACCTTAAAAATTATTTTTTGATTAATTTCCATTGGTTCCTAGCTCACTAGGAGTTAGAAAGGAAAGAGCAGAGGGACTCTCTTTTTTAAAGGCAGACTAGTGGACACCTTCCCAAAGAAGATATGAATAAAATGAATCAAAATTTTAAATATTAAAGTAAGCTTTACATAGGCTTGTGCTTTGAATCTGAATTTTAAAACATCTGTTGCTAACAGAGAAGCTTACAAGGGGCAAGGACAAAAGATAAAGCTCAAAATTCCCCAATCAGCTCTTCAAAGTTTAGATTTCACATTTAAAGAGTCAGAAATTCTTCCACTAAACATTATTGTCACTCAAATGAAGTGCCAAAAGCCAACAAACAGGCTTTGTGGAATGCCCTCATTGCTGAATTTTTCTGTTGCAAAAAAATAAGAGATCTCCTACATGCTTAGCTGGCAAGTTCATGTGAAAAAAGCAGAAAAGGATACTTGTAACAGGGTAGGAATTGACAAAGATGAGTGAATACAGCAGGTAGTGGCAGCTGTCCTCCAACAAGGCCTGGGCCAGGAACGCTCTGCTCAGTTGGAAGTGCGGTAACCTCTGATGCAGCCTCAAAGCGCTGGTCAGAGCGTTTGCCAGCAAGGCGCGCTGGTAAAAGCTTGCTGCTTCATGCAACCTGGAAGTCACCAGAGGAGCGGTTATCGTAACACACAAACAGCTGCCGAGTCTCTTCCTCCTTTGTGAATTGCATCATGATTGCACAACACCTAATCATTTAATTGTCAATAGAAGTAAATTACTTAAAACTATTCTACCTTCTTAAGAGGCACGACTTTTACACACACATATAGGCCAACTGAGTTTTAGTTGCAGTAATTCTTCCTGACAAATTAAAACAAGGCAAAAATGCAAAAACCAGGACTTTACCTCATCCTCACATACCCATTTTCCTCAGATTTTCAGAGTTGTTTGTTTCAGAAATCACGAAGTGTAAATTATTCCTCTAGTTGATAATATTACTGTTATTAGTGTATTAAGATAGGAATTGTATTTTATTTGTCCCTAAACCCTTCAGTTTAACGATTCTTACATCTAAAAGCCAATCCCATAAAAATCGTCTGAACAAGTAAATAGCAAAGGCAGAAACATGCATAATACATACCCAAGAAGAGGCAGAACAAACAAAGCAGAGCAGTACACCGTGAACAAGCGAGACAGCCACATCGCAGTGTCCAGTTTATTGGTCATCATGAATTGCTGGATTGAAAAAGAAAATTATAGTAAACTAAGCCTATAAATCATGTTAAGGATGAAGATTATGTAGCTTCATTCCTACCCAAAACATTTTCATAACTTTAGAACATTCCTTTTTCAAAACATTAAGTGAAAATTCTAACACAATTAACTTTCACTATTTGCTCAATGACAAGTCCAAACATCTTATTATTTTGATGTGGATGGTACAGAAGTACTTAAATAAACAGAAATAAATAGAAAAACAGCAGCTGACACTTTAAAAAATAAAAGCATTCATTAGGAAAAAAACCAGAACAGAAATTTAACTGCAACTGTCTGTGCTTCTTCAACACAGATAATACTGTCTTCATCTATTTTAAAGCAGCATTAAATAAAACTAATTGCTCTCAAGGGATCAATACCACCTATTCTTAGAAAAATCTCAAATCTAAATATGTAGGGGACTCAGAGCTCTGTAAAAAGACGCATATAAACACAGTTTGGATCAAACTTTTTTTTTTTTTAATTTTTATTTTTTTATTTTTATTTATTTATTTTTTTTTTTGACAGGCAGAGTGGACAGTGAGAGAGAGAGACAGAGAGAAAGGTCTTCCTTTGCCGTTGGTTCACCCTCCAATGGCCGCCGCGGTCGGCGCGCTGCGGCCGGCGCACCGCGCTGATCCAAAGCCAGGAGCCAGGTGCTTTTCCTGGTCTCCCATGGGGTGCAGGGCCCAAGCACCTGGGCCATCCTCCACTGCACTCCCTGGCCACAGCAGAGGGCTGGCCTGGAAGAGGGGCAACCGGGACAGAATCCGGCGCCCCGACCGGGACTAGAACCCGGTGTGCCGGCGCCGCAAGGCGGAGGATTAGCCTAGTGAGCCGCGGCGCCGGCCTGGATCAAACTTTTTAAAGAAAAAAATGTAAAATCACAGTAAGTCACTGCAGAACTGATGTGCTTCTGTACACAGGCCTAGCACAGAGCAGGTGTGCAAAACACACTGCGAGGTGTTACATGGCGCCGCTTCTCTGATTATATGATTCTCTTCACCTCCTGCAGACTCCCCCATAAATTTCACCCTAGTTTCAGTGGCTCTAAATTAGACTTCCATATATCAATTTCATCTCCATTTTTTTCTATTCTCTTTTTCTTTGCTCTTTTTTCCAATATATGATATGTGTACATTGCCACTAAAGAATATAAAATGTTTCATTATTAAAGTACATCCGTATTCAAATTCTAAAGAGGCTTTTACATTTTTTTACTACAATGTACATAAATTGTTTTAACACTAAGGTCCAATATAAACATACATGGGTGTTATAATGTAAACTAAGTTTCACAAAACATTCTTCCTTACTATGTATGTCAGTTTTTGGTATTTTCTAGGGTTTTTTTAATTGGTGTTTCCATTAAACTGATTTCAAAATTTACTAATGAGTCACCTAAAACATAAAAACACTGGCTTAAGCAACTAAGCAATATTACCTTTTGAAAAAAATTTTTAAATTTTGAAAAAACCTACAAGTACACTTTAAAACATAAGAATTTTTTTTTTTTTTTTTTTTTGAAAGGCAGTCAGAGAGAGAAAGATCTTCCATCTACTGGTTTACTCCCCACCGAGATGGCCACAATGGCTGGGGCTGGACCAAGCCAAAGTCAGGAACCTGAACTCCATCCAGATCTCCCATATAAGCGTCAGGGGCCCAAAGCACCTGGGCCATCTTCCACCGCTTTCCCAGGTGCATTAGCTGGGACTTAACTGGTGCTCATATGGGATGCTGGTATCACAGGTAGCAGCTTAACAGGCTTCGTCACAACTCTCGCCCCTAACATTCAAACATTGCTTGTTTTGTTTTTTTAAAGACTGACTTTATTTTGAAAGACAGAATTACAGAGAAAGAGAGAGAGAGACAGGGAGAGAGGTCTTCCATCTGCTGGTTCACTCCCCAAATGGCTGTAAGAGCCAGGGTAGGCCAGACAGAAGCCAGGAGATCAAAGCTTCTTCCAGGTCTCCTACATGGGTGCAGGGGCCCAAGGACTTGGGCCATCCTCCGCTGCTTTCCCAGGCACATTAGCAGGGAACTGGATCGCAAGTGGAGCTGCTGGAACTTGAACCTTAACATGCTACACCACAGCACCAGCCCCTCAAGGGTTTTTTAATGCATCTCTTTTTAATCACATGCACTTAATTTCACAGCTAAATAATATGCCTCTGATCTACTCTTTCCACACATGCCATACTATAACTCCTCTAAATTTAAATAATTAGCAATAGCTAAATGGAAAAATAAATCTACCTTACTGTGCTTAATTTCTCTACAACTATCCTCTTTAGTCTGGAAGCTTGCTGTTCAATCCTTTTGGGGACTGAACCAGTGGCTACAAGGCCTCTCTCTGTCCCTCTGCGTTTCAAGTAAGTAAATAAATCTTTTTAAAATTATCTTAAAAAATCTATTTGTTAAGGCAGTTTATTTTCTGATGTACTACTGAACTACACATTTTATTCCACACACTTTATGTATGTGCATATTATTACACAACAGAAGTTTAAAAAGTGTATTGGTTTAGGGGCCGGTTCTATGGTGCAGCAAGTTAAGCTGCCACCCCATAAGAACGCTGGTTCAAGTCCTTGCTGCCGCACTTTCAATCCAGCTCCTGTCTAATGTGCCTTGGAAAAGCAGCGGAGGATGACCCAAGTGCTTGAGCCTCTGCACCCACATGGGAGACCCAGATGAAGCTCCTGGGTCCTGGCTTTGACCTGGCCGAGTCCCAGCCATTAAGGCCATTTGTGGAGTGAACTAGCAGATGGAAGATCTCCCTCTCCCTCTGTCTGTAACTCTGCCTTTCAAATAAATAAAATGTATTGGTTCATGTTTTTTAAAGTAAGTAATAAAGTAATATAAGTAATAAATAATTTAAATCAGAAACATGAATGGATCTTTTGAGTGAAAAACTGTTGAGTACAATGTTCAGTGTTAAAGTAAGCCAGAGCACACATTTTAATTACAAAGCGGAAAAACTCTTCTACAAGGGTGAATCTAGTGGACACTACCTTAACTCAACAACCAAATTTAAATTCTCCAGTGGGGGTGAACATTTGGTGTGGTGGTTAAGCCAACACTTGGGATATCGAAAATACCTGGATTCCAGTTGCAGCTGGGCTTTCAATTCCATCTTCCTGCTATTGCACAACCTTGGGAGGTGGCAGGCAATGGATGGTCCCCGCAAGCCACCCACGTGGGAGAGCCGGATTGAGATCCTGGCTCTTGGCTTCAGCCTGGCCCAGACCCAGCTTCTGCCGGCATTTAGGGAGTGAATCAGTGGGTAGAAGATTTGTGTCTCTGCCTTTCAAATAAACATTTTTTTTTTTAAATTCTCCAATGATGGGATAAATCAATGCAACATGTCTTCTGATATTTATATATTGCACCAAGAAAGATACACTACTACTTATACAAATTCCTGACAAACCTGTAACCTGTATCTAGTCATGAGGTACAAAATCAGAAAATTCCAATTTGAAGAGCAATCTGCTAAACAACAGGTTTGGACTCCTGCAACAACTATTGGTGTTGTGTCGTATAAGACAAAAGAGGGAGGAGGTGGACAGGGCAACCGTTCTAGGTGAAGGCACTACAGAGATACAACCAGTAAGTGCAATGCAAGCTTTTCGACTGAATCCGGGCAAAGGAAAGCAGGAAACAGCTTCAAAAGATGTCTAAAGAAATTTGAACATGAATTGGATTATTACATAATAACACACAATAATATTAGTGGAACTGCACAGCGGTCATGCGAAACAACACCTACATCGTTTTGGGCTGACCATAAAGACTAGCTCTCAAATGAAAAGGAAGAAAAGTTGTGTAGAGATCTCCGAAAAAATTTTTAAGAAATGACTTGCCCAATTCACAAATCGATACAGTGTTAGACTAGAGGAGTGGACAGGGCCTTCGAGCAGCAGGTAAGACACCCACATCCCATATCTGAGTGCCCGGGTTCAACACCCAGGTCCTGACTCCAGCTCCTGCTCTCATGTTAAGCAGGCCCTGGGAGGTGGCGGGGACGGTTCAGGTAATTGAGTTGGGTTCCCGTCATCCACGTGGGAGAACTGGATTGCTCTCAAGTACTTAGTGGAGTGAACCTGATGATGGGAGCACTTTCGCTGTCTCGTCTGCCTCTTCCATATATACTAGTATATACAAAAATGCTTCGGGTAGAACAAACTAATAAGCTGCAGATCGGCATTTTAAACGTAAAAAAATTTCAAAAGCATAATATTTCTCTTCATGCGAAAGAAAGGACAAACTGAAGGAAGAGGGAGAAGGGCCCTATCTCCTCCTTCGCGTAATTTCTATACAATGGCATCAAGCGGGCAGAAACGCGCTGGGGCAGCACGGGTGTGCACCACGAGGCGCGGGTGTCACGGCACAACCTCAAACGGCATCTTCAACCTTGGGACCTGGGCCAGTCAGAGGCTGAGGGGTGGGAGAAAGCAAGAGAGGCCCAGTGTCCACGGCTTACAGGTGAGGGCCAGCCTGTGGTCGCTTCAGGAACAAACTTGGAGCTCCCTACGTCTCCGCTCCTGTTCTCAACACTCACTCACTCCACCCCCACTCCCTCTGACCCAGTCCAGAAAGCACCGACCTTCTGAACGCCTGGGGGATCTGCTCCCATCACTTCCTGCTCCTTCCTAACTCCTGCAAATCCAGCCAGACGCCCCTGCCCGCTCACTTACCACGGCGCCCGCCCCTTGGGGCCCGTTCGGGGTCGTATCTGCCATGGGGGATTCACACGCGCGTCCGGGACGCCTCGATCGCGCAACGAGGAGAAAGGAGGGACAAAACGTCAGCACGGGGCCACCACCCGGGTAACCGGCTTCCCAGCCGGGTGCTTCGGCCGCCGCGACCCGCCGGAACTGCGCGTCCGCAGGTCTCGCCCGCCCGGTGCACCAGGAGGCTCCGAGGACACCCACAAGCGCCCGTGAAATAACCGACCGGCACAGCCGAGATCAATGCGGGATTTCCAGAAAAGACCGAAGCGAAGGCGGGGCTTCAGAGCAAGGCCCTAAGGGGCCGACCCAGCGCTGCCGGCTCCCTGCTCTTGCCGAACCCGGAAGTGCTTCTTTCATTTCCGTGGGGAAGAGGCGTTAACGAAGAGCAGGGGTGTGTCCTGAGGCTTGACGGGAAGTGTAGTTTTTCTCCTCTTCGTTCCGGTTCCACCTGCCTGGCTCGCGCAGTGGGTCGGTGAGCTAAGCGGGGCAGGAGAATCAATTTTCGCCTGGTTCCAGCACACAAATAGTCCGCCCTGCCCAAGCTTCATGCTTGGCACTGAAGGTAAAAAGATGAATATGACAGCCTGCTGGAGAGACAGACAAGTAAGCCCGAGTCACAGTATAGTGCTTGTGAAACATAGGCAGAAACTTGAGTTAATCACAGGGAGCGTAGAGGAGTGTACCTAGGTCTGGAATCTGGGGTGGTTTCCTGGAAAAAGTAATTCTGGTGCTGAATCTTCTTAAAAACTTTAAGTTTTATTTTCATTTTATTTGAAAGGCAGAGAGACAGAGAGATCTTCCATTCACTGGGTCACTCCCTGAAATGCCTGGAACAGCTTGGACTGGGCCAGGCCAAAGTCAGGAGCCAGGAGCCAGGAACTCCATCTTGGTCTCCCACGTGGATGGCAGTACCTAAGCCATTGTCGCTGCCTTCCAGGTGCATTAACAGGAAACTAGATTGGAAGCGATGAAGAACTTCTGATAAGGGATGCTGACATCCAGAGCAGTGGCTTAATGCACTGTGCCACAATACCCATCTCTTTTATAATAATTTTAATTTGTATTATTTATTTATGGGAGGTATTTCTCATCTGCTGGTTCATTCCCCAGATGCTGCAACAGCCAGAGCTGGGACAAGGCAAAGCCAGGAGCCAGAACCCACTCTAGGTGCCTCACATGGGTGGCAGCAACCCAACCACTCCAATTACTACTGCCTCCCAGGGTTTGCATTAGCTGAGGGTTGAAATCAGGAGCTGGAGCTGAGGCTCAAACCTAGGTGCTCGGATGTGGGACACGTGGCTGCATGTTTTAACCAGAGTCTTGATGTCCAGGCCATATGCCTGCCTTCTCCCCATGATCATTTTTAATAACAGATTTTCCTCTCACCTGGAGCATAAGCATCTCAACAGCAGAATATATTTTCCACTCCTATAACACTCCCCCAGGCTTCAAACAAAATAAAAAATAATGGGGCCTCGGCTGTGGTGTAGCAGGCAAAGCTGCTGCCTGTAGTGCATCCCATACGGGTGCTGGTTAGAATCCCAGCTGCTCCATTTCCGAACCAAATCCCTGCTAATGTGCCTGGGACAGCAGTGGAGGATGGCCCTAGTGCTTGGGCCCCTATACGCACATGGGAAACCTGGAAGAAACTCCTGGTTCCTGGCTTTGGATCAGCCCAGCTCCAGCCATTGTGGCCTTTTGGGGAGTAAACCAACAGATGGAAGATCTCTCTCTGTGTGTCTCTCCTCTCTCTTTCTGTAACTCTGACTTTCAAATAAATTAATAAATCTTTAAAAAATGAAAAGAAAATGATGTTGTGGATTCCAGGACAATGTTTCAGGCAATTTAGGGATAGTATAAAACATATGTTTGAAACCATAGTGAAGGAAGTTGAAGTCACTTTTCCAAGATATTTTGTCTGTGGAGAGATTTGGGTGGTTATTTCGTTGAATGCAACGACATCTTTTTGTTTGTTTTTTCTTTTCTTTTTTTAGAGATTTATTTTGTTTATTTGAAAGGCAGAGTTACAGAGAGGAAGAGACAGAGAGAGTGGTCTTCCGTCTGCAGGTTCACTCCCCAGATGGCCGCAACGGCCAGAACTGAGCAGGTCCAAGGCCAGGAGCCAAGAGCTTCTTTGGGTCTCCCACGTGGATGCAAGGGCCCAAGCACTTGGGCCTTCCAGTACTGCTGTCCTAAGGACAATAGCAGAGAGCTGGATCAGAAGTGGAGCAGCTGGCACTCAAACTAGCATCCACATGGGATACTGGCACTGCGGGCAGTGGCTCAACCTGCTACACCATAGCACCAGCTCCAATAATCTTTTCTTCTGCAAAAATGTCATCAATAGTTTTATATTTTATGCTGTGTTTCTGTTGCTTAATGTTGAATGAAAATGTCATTGAATGATATTTTCATTCAAACATTACCTTGTAATGATTGATTTATTTGAAAGCAGAGTGATAGAGAGATCTTCCATCTACTGGTTCACTCTCCAAATTTCCATAACAGCTAGGACTATGCTGGGCCAAAGCAAAGCCAGGAGACAGGAACTCAGTCCAGGTCTTCCACATGAGTGGCAGAAACCCAAATACTTGGCTGTCATCTGTTACTTCCCAGGTATGTTTACAGGACCCTGACTTGGAAGTATGGAGTAGCTAGGACTAGAATGAGTAGTCTGATATGGGATGTAGGTGTCCCAAGTGGCAGCCTAACCCGATGTACCACAATGCCCACATCAATGCCTTTTTCTTTCTATTTTTGCATTTTTCAGTGCCTTTCAATTAATATGTATTTAATAAGGATTTCCATAGGGTCAGGGTCAATTCCTGCTACCCAGCTTACTTTCATTTTCGGTAAGAAGGTTCCAGTGTCATACAAGCCCTGAAACTGAAGCAGTTGGCTACCAAAAAGCCATTACCCTTTTTGGCTGGAAATTGGCTGATAGAGTAAGAATTGATTCCAGAATTATTGATGACTTGGCTCTCCCCAGTTTTCATGGGGTGTTCTACTGAACACCACATCATTAATTTGCTTATGTCTGCTTCCATCAGTGATTAATAATCTTGTGCTTGGAAAAGGCATCCTTGTACCTGCCAAGTGCTGAGTCATTCGTCTCAGTAGAAATCCGTTCCTACTTTTACTTAGTGCCTGGAAAGTGAGCCTCATGAGTTCTGCAGATACAGCTTGCATACAATATCTTAATTATATTTTTTAAAGATTATTTACTTGAAAGGCAGAGTTACAGAGAGGCAGAGGCAAAGAGAGAGAGAGAGAGGTCTTCCATCCGCTGGTTCACTCCCAGATGGCCACAACAGCCGGAGCTATGCCAATCCGAAGCCAGGAGCCAAGAGCTTCTTCCGGGTCTCCCATGTGGGTACAGGGGCCCAAGCACTTCTACTGCTTTCCCAGGCCATAGCAGAGAGCTAGATCGGAAGTGGAGCAGGCAGGACTGGAACCGGTGCCACATGGGCACCAGCACTGCAGGCGGCAGCTTTACCCGCTATGCCGCAGTGCCAGCCCCACAAGGTCTTAATTAAAAACAAAGATTATTGCTGCTTTTCAAAATTGGTAAGGTAAGGAAAAATGGAAGACTTTGGAATGCACATACTTTGAATGGAATACTGAGGATTCTGGGGATTGCCTGGTCCTACACGGTACATAAGAGCCTTCGTCTTTACTATGCTCTTAAAAATTTTTTTAAGACTTATTTATGCCAGCGCCGCGGTTGACTAGGCTAATCCTCCGCCTTGCGGCGCCAGCACACCGGGTTCTAGTCCCAGTCAGGGCGCCGGATTCTGTCCCGGTTGCCCCTCTTCCAGGCCAGCTCTCTGCTGTGGCCAGGGAGTGCAGTGGAGGATGGCCCAAGTGCTTGGGCCCTGCACCCCATGGGAGACCAGGATAAGTACCTGGCTCCTGCCATCGGATCAGCGCAGCGCGCTGGCCGCAGCATGCTGGCCGCGGTGGCCATTGGAGGGTGAACCAACGGCAAAGGAAGACCTTTCTCTCTGTCTCTCTCTCTCACTGTCCACTCTGCCTGTCAAAAAAAAAAAAAAGACTTATTTATTTATTTGAAAGAGGAAGATACACACACATACACAGAGAGAGAGAGAGAGAGAGAGAGCACTCTCCCACTTGCTGGTTCACTCCCCAAATGCCCACAACCACCAGGGTTAGGCCAGGCCAAACTAGGAGCTTGGAACCCCATTAGGGTCCCCCATGTGGGCGGCAGGGGCCCAAGCAAATAGACCATCATCCTCTGCTTTCCTAGGCACATTAGCAGGGAGTCATTTCCAAAGTGGAGCAGCTGGGACTCTGATGTGGAATGTTACTATTGCAGGTACACCGCCTATGTTACACTGCCCACCACAAATTTTATTTTTTTAAATATTTATTTATTTTTTTGAAAGTCGGATTACAGAGAGAGAGAGAGAGAGAGCAAGCTAGAGAGAGAGATCTTCCATCTGCTGGCTCACTCCCCAGATGGCCTCAACGTCCTGGGCTAGAGCAGGCCAAGCCAGGAGCCAAAAGCTTCATCTGGGTCTCCCACATGGTGGCAGGAGCCCAAGCACTTGGGCCATCTTCCACTGGTTTCCCAGGCTCCCGTATGGGATGCTGGTCACCACAGCACTGCCCCACCTCCCTAAATTATGTATTATCCTATAGTTCCCATGGTCACAAGTCCCTTGCAGGTCTTCCTGGGCTAAGATCAAAATATTTTTAGGGCTCTATCCCTTTCTGGAGATTCTAAGGGAGATTTTGTTTCCTAGTCCATCCTATCTTTTACGTGCAACCGTGTTCCTTGGTTCTCAGACTCCTTTCTCCATCTTTGAAACCAGCTGTATTGTGATTCAGGGTTAAGCTGCTGCCTGCAATGCTGACACCCCCAGGTATCCCCTATGAGCACAGGTTTGAGTCTTGGCTGCTTCATCTGATCCAGCTCCCTGCTAATGCTCCTGGAAAAGCTGCAGCAGATGTCCCAAGTTCTTGGGGCCCTGTACCCACGCAGGAAACCAGGAAGAAGTTCCAGGCTTGTGGCTTCTGCCTGGTGCAGCCCTGGCTGTTTTGGCTATTTGGGGAGTGAACCAGCAGATGGAAGATCTCTCCGCTCTGTCTCTCCAGCTCTCTTGCTGTAACTCTTCCTTTCAAATAAATAAGTCTTAAAGCAAACAAACTACAAATCCATTCATGTGGGCGTGGGTGTTGTGGTGCAGTGGGTTAAGCTGCCACTTAGGATGCACACATCCGAGATTGGAGAGCTTGAGATTGAGTCCTGCCTCCACCTCTGCTTCCAAACGGGTTTCCTACTAATGTGTCCCTGGGAAGCAGCAGAGGATGGCGCAAACACTGAGTCCCTGCC